GAGCAGCAGGGCACGACTCTGCTGCATGTGACAGCACCGTTGCATGATCTATCCTCCACAGTGTGCAGAAAGATGGAGAGACTCTGCAAGAGGACACACTGCCATCAGCAAAATGTTTGTGGGTGTTTTTTTTTTCCTAGAGGATGGTGATTTTGGCAAGAAAATGAAAATCATCAGCCAACAACAGGAAACCTCCTAGAACTGTAACCAGCATTACTGAGGCTCTTAAACTACAAACTTCTTGTTTCAGTCTAAAACCAGGCGATTTAGCCATCTTTAACTACTAAAAATTCATACTGTCAAAATTTTGTGTGTAGTGCTTTACAGATCAAGCTATTTAAAACCCGACATGAAGCAATTTAAAATATGAATTGATCACAGCAAGTTCATTCATATGATTTCTCTTGGGGAGGGGGTCACAGCTTACAGCACTAACGAAAGACAGATGGCTTTGGAAAACTTACACAGACACTTAGCTCCAGTGTGAAAGCACATTTGATCCGCACATTTAATGAAAAGTCATAAATAAGTCAAAAATATGCACACCTTCCAAACTCTGTAATTCCCCATAGGGGATAAGCCAAAACTGAAACCATCCCGAGTTCCCTGAACTCGGACAGTTTGGATAAAATAGTACAAAAATGAAAATCACACCTCATTTTGGTTAAAACCACAAGTGATGCCCTTTTAAAAAAAAGCGTTGCTTAGTTTGCGCAGCTGTACTTCGGGCACTGCGCACAGCCACACAGCTGCTTGATCTGCCCCACAGCAGTCTCTAAAAGAGATTAGTTAAAGTTCCAGGAATGCAAAGCTAAATAATTCCTTGGAGTTATTTCACGATAAGTCTGGAATTACTGAAGCTAAGGCCTTGTTTAGCGCCAGAGGCAGGTGGGTTTTGCTGCAGTTAGCAGTTTCCATCGCAATAACAGGAGAGCCAATTAAAAGCCAATTAAAAGCCATTACTTGAAGGTCCGGCACTTTTTGCAGACTCTCCCCTCTTGAGTTTTCCTTCTGGAGCTGCCCTTTATCCTCAGCACAAAGACTTGACAATGAAAGCGGCCGCTCGCCCGTCTCCATTGGAGCCACGTCTGCCGGCACCTTCTGCAGCCCTTCCCCTCTGATCCCTGCCCTGCACAAACGTGCTGGTTTTTCACCCTCATTCTCATTTGTGAAGACCTGTTTGATGCCATATGAACACAAACAAGACAAGAATTGAACCTATGGTTAAGAATGAGTGAAGATTCCTCCTAGCATTTACCATGACAGTGGACACATACTGGTTGGTCTCTCCTTGAAGTCCCAGACCCTCTGCCACTTGAAAAGAGTGCAGATTTGGCATTTAAAAAAACACAACAAAATGACCTAGTGTTCAATCACATGATGAGGAATCGGGAGATCACAGTGTTTCATTGTTCCGCTACGAGAGCACCACCATGACTCCATCTGCGGCTCCATCACCTCACTGTAGAGCGGGGATCAAATGCTGTGTGTTTCAAACAGTGTGAGCTACAAGCATGAAGGAAGCCTGAGAAATTAAACCTTCTGCACTGTACACTTTAAAGACAAAAAACCAGAGAAAACCCAGTCAGAAATCTGCAATATCCTCCAAAGCGTAAGTAGGATCTGGTATCGATGGCAAAACTAGAGAAAAAAAAAGGAAACAGCCCTTTTCTTCCCGCAGACAGCAAGGATCCATTAGTATCCTTAGTGCTCTTCTTCTGGTTCTGTGCAACATTTCTGAGGAGAGGTTTCTCCAACCCATCTCACGTTTAGTTCCCAGTTATAGTTTAAAGGAATGGTAATTTTGCCCCTGTAGCTACCTGAGCAGTGTGAGCAGCCCCCTTCTCCCCTGCTCAGTCTCTGCCTCTGGAGCTATGGCACCAAATTCAGCAGGTTCTCGCCTTGATCTGGCTTTGGCTGACATGAACGGAAACCAGCTGTGTTAGACATCACTCCTCTGGACCTCTGTGGCGCAGGACACCGGTCACTGCTGTGGGTAAACCAGTGCCCGGCACCACATTGTACTGGACTCCTGGCGAGACGTATGAAACCAACAAATTTCCAGCTTTGCTACTTCCAACAGATCCTTGGCATTATATATCAGCTGATCAAATACAGAATCTCTTGGGTTTTTTACATTTATGTATCTGCTTATGCTGCTCATTGCTTTTTGACTTCATTTTTATCTGGCATGGACAAGCTCTGAAATTCCAGCTTCTCTGGCCGTGTGATCCTTCATAGAATCATCGAATCCTAGACTGGCCTAGGCTGGAAGCGACCTCGGAGATCATTTAGTCCAACCTCCCTGTCATGGGCATGGATGCCTCTCAGTTAGATCAGGCAACACATGGGGACCGAACGGGGACGCATCTAAAATCTGCTCCACTCCTAAATACCTTGAAATAATTTCCATGTGCAGTTCTAGAAAACAAGGCTGCATATTGCTCTGTGCTGCCTTTTTATTTTGGGTATAAGGTACACTAAACTTTGCTGCATCTCTTCTGCTGGGGAAACTGAGGCACAGCGCAATTCGGTGCAAATGGTAGCGCCTGTGCTAGATCTAAGATTTAAATTCTGGAGCACTTAGGTCTGAAAATCCATGCTAAAAACTTACAGAGAAGACAGACGTGGCCGTCTTTAATCACTATATTGGGCAGGAAGAGCTAACAAAACATGCCATCTGTGTGGCTCCCTTAATTTCTCCATGTTAAGAGAAAGCTGATGGAGTCCTCTGAAGGTAATTCCTGTGGAATAATGAGAGTTTGAACTTTGTGTTCCACCAGCTGAACTACAGAGAAGAGAAAGCTGTTATTTAGGTCTGTCCTAAATCTCATCGAAGTAGAGGAAGTCTGATATTCTAAGTCCTAAAATGTATGGGAAGGATTAAGGGTTTTTTTTGTCCACCAAACTTCTTAATGTTCCTTGGACTGCAAGATGAATTGAAACCAGGCTGCTAGGTGTAAGAAGGTGTTATCACTACAGGTTAATATGACTTAACTAGAAGTTAATATTCAACATCATAGCATTTACCTGCTTTTGCCAGCAAGGATTTTCATGATCTGCAAATATTCTCAATTTTCTATGGGTTAAAATCTCAACCAACTTTTTGACTGCGGTGAATATTCACGGAAATGTCAACATCGCTTTATTACGTGAACTGAAACTCTAGAAATCTGTGAAATCCAAACAGATCTAAACTGTACGGCAGCTCAAATCTGCACAACACAGCCCTCAAGAAATTGTAAAGGATGCAGATTGAGCACCAGACCCCAAAATAATTTTTGGCTCAAAATGAAGGAAATTAGCACATTTCAGAAAAATAAAACGTAATGTTTCTTGTGAAAGGCAATGCCACTATATCCCACAGCACCTGCCCAGAACACTGAAGTCCTGCGATGCTTCCAGGAGCCCCTGTTTTGAATGCCCAAGCTTAGCAGGGCTTTTTATTTGTGCAGTACTTCATCAGTATTTTTTTCCAGAACTAATGAAGCTGAAGGAGTAGCCAGGCTCCACTCTGGAGACCTCTGCTTCCCCTGACTTTACAGGAAATCCAGTTGTTGCTAAGCTGAACAATGCCACAAATTGCAAATGAAATACGTTGTTGGCGTTTATGCAGTCAGCTCTATCCGAGAGGGCAAAATAAGTGCTGGTTCCCAAGCACGATTACTTCAGCTTCTGTCCCTACAGAAATACTGAAATACCAACTTCTGTTGTTGTTGTTAAATTGACGATCTTATTTTACTTAGAATACTTCCACAAGCAACAAGGGAACAAATATTGGTGTGGTTCTTCAGGGACTGACGGCAGCTGCGTTAGATTACAAAAAACTCTCTGCAACACTTCCCTCTAACTTGGCATCAGCTTTTCTGTTCCTACATCCAAACTCCTGCAGCTGAATTTGCAGGCAGGAAGTATTTAGATTTGTGCAACTTGTTTCAGTAGGACCAGTTTTGGTAAGTGTTTTAGTTCACTTTTTGTCGACAAATTTTGCGTATTAAGTATGAGGAATATTAATATTCACCAGAGCAAAACTAATCTTAGGAAGAATTTGGAGAGAACCAGATTTACTACAAAACTCCTGAATGTGGTTTGCTTTCTTCTGCGTATGGATTCTTTGTGAACTATATGACAGCGCTTACTGGGGAAAGCGATAACCACATGGTTTTATGGTCTGAGTAGTTAAATATCGTGATGTAACTACTGAAAGTAATCTGTTTCCTAAATGGTAAAAGAGGAAGCAATGGAAATGTACTCCGTAGGAAATGTATACTATTACATCACATAACATACATGTGTAACTATGAATTTCTTAGTGTATTTTAAGTCTAATTTTTTAAGTTCTTCACAGCTCTGATTTTAGTAACATTCGGAGGAATTAAGTTATGTATTATTTATATTGTGTGAAAAACCAAGACTCTAAAACAAGCTCAGCATTATGCATTGCCTTTCAATTTCACAGACACTATTTTGCATGTAACAAGAGCCCCCGAACTGATTTTCTTTGTCAACTACACCACATGCTTCCATTTGTGTTTCCTCCAAAATAGCAATACTGTCTCTGTACAGGCAGGCGGGAGAGCCAGACTTTCCAAGGAAAAGAGAACAGTAGGTGATCCTGCTCTGGCGGAGGGGCTGGACTAGGTGGTCTTCTGAGGTCCCTTCCAACCCCCAACATTCTGTGATTCTGTGATTCTGTGGAGCTCACTGTCATTTCACATTCTATTCCCAGTTCAAGCACTCGATTACATTATTTGGTCCGTGTACCGGCGCTTGAAAGGATTTTCCTTGTTGCCTTTGTGAAGCAGCCGGGCACAGCCCTCACATTTTACCGGTACCACAGGTAGAAACCCCTGTTCTCAGCACATCCAAGCAACCGCTTCCAACCAAAGTCATCCCTGTGCCACGCTGCGCGCATTTATCCTGTTTTCCCATGTTTTCCTACAGGTCCCCTTTACTTTCCCTCTTTGCAGGTCGGAACGGCCGCGCTCCCTCGCCCCGGTGCCCCGGGCAAAGAGCGGGAGCAGCCGGGTCCTGCCCGGCCGTGCTCCCCCAGGACCGACGATCTCCCACGGGCGGAGCGAGGGCCTCTGAGAACGGTACCGAACCCAGCACCCAACTGCTTTGTTCTCACACTGATTTGTAAGATCCTCAGCAGAAATCATAATACAGATAATTAACACAGATTAATACTGATATTAAAATCACCATCCCTACGCTGATGCTTCACCCTTATCCTTGCGTTATAGTTACTTAAAAGAAAGAAGAGAGTTGAGGTGAAGCACCTGCAAGAGACTGCTGAAGGGTTCAAGACTCTTACATTTGCTGAGGTTCCTCCGCCTCAGCCTGAAATTCCCCTGCCCTGCCCCATTTCACTGGGCTTTTGAAAATCTCCCTTCTTTCCGTCTCAAGTGTAAGTTGGTTGTTGGTTTCTCGAGCAGAGGATCAGCTGCTCCGCTCCGTGGAGGGCCAGGCTGCCTCTGACGAGGAGGAGGAGGAGGAGTGGGCAGCAGATCCGCCGTCCCAAGCAGACCAGCTGAAGAAGATGCTGACCAGGCTCCCTCGCTGCGGCAGTGGGTAGGTGCCCAGGATTGATGCCCTTTGAGCCTTTTGCAAAGATTGTTTTGTGACCTGAAGGCACCGTTGGCTTTAGTACGAAGCAGCAACACCGTGTCGCAAAATCAGCCCGAATCACCTTCACCCGTTGCAGCCCACGGGAAAGAACGTGCCGGGCGTTCCCACCTCACCCTGAGCTGCATCAGCGCGGACGCTCGGTGATGGTCTGTGCTGCCAAGAGGTTTGTGGGAAAAATGGCTTTTACCATCATGAGGTCTCACCAGCTTTTTAATTTCTCTTAACGTATGTACAGATGCGATGAAAAAACGTGGAAAAAGCTGATGTCTTACTTGGAGACCACCAACACGGACAGCTCCGAAAGAGCCCCCGCGGAGCTTGTGGAAAGGATCCCGCAGCCGACCCAGCAGCTTGAGCTGAAAGGGCACGAAGTGAAAAAACTGGAAACAAACATGGGAGAGGTAACAGGGGCCGAGCGGCGCGTGACAAAGTTATTAACGTGTTCTGAAGTAGTTGCATTTACATACATGCGCCTTCATATTTCATTCTAGCCATTCCGCTCTCTTATTGCCTGTGTTTCCTGCTGGGCCCTTAGTTTGTCAGCTCAGACATCTCGTGCTCTCCACATTTCTGGTCTGGTTCCTGCCTGAAACTCTGTCTGTGGAGTGTAAGGATTTCAGTAGTTCTGGGAAAGATTATATTAATCGTTAAACTATTTAAAGTAAGAGTAAAATATTCAACTTTTTTATATGTTGACATCCTTTGATTTTTGTCAGTATTTCCTGTCATTTCCTCCTTTACTAAATTAAAGAGTTTACTTGTGAAGAAAACAATGTAAAAACAGAGTAATATCACAATTTGCAGTATTCAGTGAGAGTTTATTCCTGTAAAACTCCTTAGAGCCACACAAAGCTTCCTTCTGTAGTGCTTAACATGAGCCCACGTAAGAAACTACATTTATTCTTTTAACAGCTAGTGCCACTTTTCTTCTTTTTTCCCCTTATCTTCTGCAGTATTATATTGCCTTCTCTTTAATCTCTGCTGACGGATATTGGTTCTGCTCACCTTGCTCAGGAAAAGACGGTTATCAATAGAAAATTCCCGGACAAAAATGGAATCTGTTGCTCTGGATTTAAAGACAAGGAGGGAGGGGAACCAGACACAGCGCCAACAAACTGCAACAGGAATTTAAAATCAGTAGAGTGAATCATTTTGAGATGTTAGGGATTTATTCTTAAGCTCTCTTACTTGTATTTAGCCAGCATTTCTGTCTTGGGTGCTGTTCTAGGTTGGGGGTTTTTGATGCCACAAACCAGACAGACAAGGAATAAGTAATTCCTTTCAAAAAGGATTCCTGTAATGAACACAAAGCAAACTGGAAGACCGAGATCTAACTTGCAAATAAATATGTTGGCTCCATAAATAAACCACCAAGAGCACCTTCCCTGACGAGCTGACAAAACTGCTTTATACATCACTCCCTATGCTTCTATTTTGACCTGCTCCATGCTGAAAATGAGACAAATAGCAAAGCTAACAAGTAACAAACTCAGCAGAGAGCAACACAAACACTGAGTAATAATTGCTTCAGTCTAAGACTTGTAAAATCGGGCGATAAAAGAGTTCCAAAATTTGTCACGTCTAGAAAGTTCTCCTTCCCCACAATTGGACATTTAAAAATAGTTTCTACTGAGGTCAAGGTGAGGAGGGTGTTATGACCTGGTGATAATAGGTGGAGAAAACATGAGAGAATTCCAAAAATAAAGCGATGTGCCTCCAAGTGCAGCATTGCAAAGAAGCGCCAATTATTTTCTGTAATTAAAATGACAATTAGTTTATGACCTGCCCTCCAGGGAAAGAATGAAAAGGTCACCCTCGTGTCACATGCCTGTCAACAAGCTTAGAGGAGAGCAAGGAGAAACCCCGCGATGCTTTTCCTCCTGGTATCACTCCCCTGGCTCCCAGCCCAGCGGGGACAGGCGCATCTTCACCGGGAGGTGGCAAGGACTGTTGTGTTTAACGGCGAGCGTCAGAGCTGTTTACTACGAGTTTACCTTTCCTTTCCTTACAGCTAACGACGCTCAGGGCATCTCAGGGCGAGGACTGACCCGTACCAGTTAGAAAAGATCAGGTTTTGGGGATTTGGGTTTGGTGGCTTTAAGCCTGCTGCCCCATCATCCACCTTGGTGTGATGCTTGGGAACCAGCAAATGATCATCCCCTCCTAATTTTACAGACCCTTACTATCAGAAATGCTGCCTCAGTTCTTACCATTCCTAGCCTGCCTCAGCTCTCTTGGTACAGAAGCCGTTACTTCTGTTACTCTGTTTTATTCTTATTCTTACTTTTCAAGCTCTGTTACCCTTTCTGAATGAGAAGAACTGAAAATGTGCTTAATATTCAAACCCAAGCCCTTTGTGGCATAATCCCAGTAGCTGTTTTGTCCCCAGCTCCTTTCCTAACAGCTTCCAGCAGGTGTAGGCATCCTTTTGATCTCTGCTAACAGCCGAACAATGCTCAGGAGATTATGGCTCCTCTAGATCTCCCTCTTGAGCGCCAGTCTTCAGTGCTGCACACGGGTGACATTGCGTACCCTTCCCACACGCCTTACTTTGCATTATTGATGTGGAATTTCACCTAATCTTTTATTGCCCAGAGCTATTCAATATCATGAACTCAAGCTCTGATTCTTCGCAGGCAACTTCAGTTTTGATTAACCCCAAAAAATCATATTGAGACCCCTCCTGCCCAGGATTTCTGCAGCCTTCTTGAATTTGGACAACAAACCACTGCTTCACCAAGCACACGTGACAGCATTTTGCAGAACCAGAATCTGTTTTCTTTTTTTTTTGTCTTAAGAGGCAGGGTTTTTTTTTTTAACCAAAATACTTAAAATCAATTAGCTAATTACCTTCTTGTTTCACTGAATGGGCAGATGATTGACATGTAGGAGCTGCAAGACAAAGCTCGGATTACATTGGTGAGGGCACGCAAATGAGTTGTGCTTCACAGAAGGCGACAGCAATGCAAAAGATGACAAAGCAATAAAGATTACAAAACTGCAACAGTAATGCCAGCAGTCAAAATGTCTTAATGACCTGCTCGCATCCAGTGTCGAACAAACCACCGCTAGAGGCAAGAGCAAAGCACACATTTCCCGGCCACTCCTGATCCATCACGTAGCACGTTAGAGAAAAGTCCTTTTCTCTTCTGGAGTGAACTCTTTACCAGAGAAGGGGGAAAATGTAGTTTTGTAGTTGCTGGGCAAGAAAGTGAGAAGCCCCAGTGCTTTTAATCTCCTGTGTCATTGTCCAGATGAAAGGGCTGCTGCTGGGGGAACTGCAGCAAAAGGCGGAGGAGACCGAGTTGCTGAAGACGGAGCTGCAGATGTTGGAGACTGAGAGAGTCAGGCTGTCACTGGTGGAAGAGAAGCTCATGGATGTTTTACAGCTTCTTCAACAGCTTCGAGACTTGGTATGGTGAGAAAACAGTCCAGAGACTGAAAACTGGGGAGGGAGCTGGGGTTGTTCAGCTGCAGAAGAGAAGACTCCGGGGGCACCTTATCCCTGCCTGCAGTGCCTGAAGGGACCTACAGGGAGGCTGGGGAGGGACTTTTTACAAGAGCGTCCAGTGACAGGACAAGGAGAATGGGTTTAAGTTAAAAGAGAATGGGTTTAGATTGGATCTTGGGAAGAAATTGTTCAGTGCGAGGGTGGCCAGACTCAGGAATAGATTGCCCAGAGAGGCTGTGGCTGGCCCCTCCCTGGAGATGTTCAAGGCCAGGTTGGATGAGCCCTGAGCAACCTGGGCTGGTTCAGGGCGTCCCTGCCCATGGCAGGGCTTGGGTTGAATGAGCTCTGAGGTCCCTGCCAACCTAACACTGTCTAGGAATCTACGATTCTATGACAGTGTCATTTCCAAACTACAAAGGATGTTCATACCATCTATAAATTACTAATTCCTTCACACCAGGGCACATTTTTACATGAGTTTATCCTGAGAACTGCCCAGTAATCACAGAAAACTTTGAGACCCCTGTGGCTGACTTTCTGAAAGAAGCCTGGACATCTCTTTAGATCTAGATCTCCAAGCCCTCATTCTCCTGTAAACAACAAATTAGAGGAAACAAGGGAAACAAAAATGCCAGTAAACAGAAATATTCTAGATTTTTTTCCTTCCAGAAAAAGACCTTTGTTTAACTGCATCACAATGTGACACTGAGTCAGTATTAAAGGGGTAAAACCTCTCTGTATATATAAGGTCTACCCTGCAAGGCATTTTTTGTAAGAAGTTTCTTACCCAATTAATAATCCAAAAAAATGGACTTGTGAAAACTGATGCACTAACATCCCAGGAGCACATGGCCAGTACGGCAGTTCACTCCTTTAGAAAATCAGCTTAAATCTCCTGCTTGGGAATTACAGTGGTAAGGCCTGGCCAAAAGATGGGGAAATTGGATAATCTGCCAGAACATGGAGCTCACTGGGACGCACTGGACTGCTGGGAACTCATGTCTTTGGTAACAACTCGGGGTTCCCCGCGATTTTTCAGCAAAGCTCTGCCTAACCTGTGTGAGACGAGAATGCTTCCTCAAATGATCACTTTACTTGGGTTGAAGCATGCCCTGGGGAACAGGTGCAGCATCCCACAAAGCCTGCGTTAGGGTCTCGATAGCAAGTTAAGCACGTTTGTTTTCCAGACACGTTACGTGATGTCCCAACAGATGTCCAATATTAAACTAGCCCTGAAAAAGCCCGTCGAAACCCTAGGCAGTTTTCACAGTCACTCACTTTGGTGAGTGTTTATTACATCCCAGTGTATAATTAACAGTGGGCCTATACACAAAATTTCTTCTAATCTCTTTATACCTAAAATAGTTTTCAGTGATTCCCAGACCAGCTGGGTCTGAAAAGCCTCTTTCCGAGCTTGCATCACAAAGTCTGATCAACACAGGGCTGGCAGAGGACTGAACAAGCTTTTGGTGTGTGTGTCCTACTTATACTCCTTGCTATCTACATTGTTTTGGGCACACACTTTCGAAAATTCCATGCTTTCCACCAAATAATTGCTATTTCCCTTTTTACAGCCATATTAAAGAACTGCAGCCCCCCACAACCCACAGTGCTTGAAAATAAAGCCAATATCAAGTCACGTGTTATCAGGATTCAGTTTGCTTTAATTTTCAAATGCAACCACCCTGCTCATAGATTCCGCTACAGGCATTTAAACTGGTGAAGGACAGATTTGTGCCATAACATTGTTTTGTTTTTTAAAGAACATATCTAAGCGAGCCTTGGGGAAAATCTTGCTGAGCACTTTGGAATCCTGCCGGGACCCCCAACCTGGTAAGACAATAAATCACGCATAAAGACCAAGAAGTATGAAGTGGTTTTGGGGAAAAACACTAGATAATGAATAGATGAGCAGGAAAGAAATATTTTAAATGCTAGGGGACAGGCTAGGGAGAAAGAAGTACTATGCAAGAAAATCGCCTGTAGAAAGTGGTGCTTTCCAGTCTGTAACACATCAGGAAGAGGAACACGTCCAGGTGTTCTTTTAGCCAAATCTTTATTAGAATTTGGCCTTAGGGGAACCAATCACTATCCCACTGATGTCTGTAGGGCTTTGTTGGTATAACAAAGGGCAGAACATGGCCCAGGCACATATTTACCAGGTTTGCTGTCCCACTGCTTGTGGTGTTCCTCTGCCCCAACACAAACGAGCCACACAAGAGAGACCTGCCCTCCTCTAGGAACAGCCTGTCACGTTCCGCTTATGAAAATTAAATTTACAAACTCCGCTCCCTTGACAAAGGTCTGGTGTGTCAGAGCTGCCTTTGTAGGAGCTGCATGGGGATCGCAGCCTGGAGATTAGATTTGATCAGTTTGTTCCTGTTAACAGAGCATTTGTACTTACCTTCAAGTAACGAACATCCTGTACCGAGCCCGGGCAGGCAGTGGTCACAGACACGACTATAAAAGGCTGGAAGTGGCCTGAGGGTTTAATTTGGGAGGATATTGTCAGCAGCGATATAGGCAGAATAAAGCAGAAACCAGTCTGGGTTTTGCAGTTTCGAAGCTGTGGTGTTGTGAGTCCCAGGCGGCCCAGAGCTGCGCTGGGCTGCTCCACTGCGACTGCGGAGGAAGAAGAGAAAAGAAGGCAAAGGCAGAGTTTTGTCAGGTCCAGGGTACTAGCACAGAGAGAAACAGCATCTGAGTCGTAGGTCAGAAATGTCCTGGGGAGAGCAAGAGAAGAGGAGACACCAACAAATGAAATGACCGCGCGTAGCTCTCCATCCCTTCAGCATCACCACTGCCTTGACGGCTCGTCTTCTCTGTATTTCCGTTTTCTGGCTGTGCTCGTCTTTAAGCAGCTTTCCTGAGCCTTTGTAATCGAATGTCTCCTTCCAAAGACTGAGCGGCTGGTGGGATGGGCCACTCTTTATCGTGACGTGAAATAGTCGTTGTTCACAGGAGTGTGTGAGAACTGAGTGGGCAGTGCATGAAACAAGAGAAAACTATCTTTGAACCCAGCTCCGCTTGTATTTTTACAGGAAGAGGAAGTCAGTAGGTGGTCTCAAAATTTAGACATTTGATGATAATTACTTGAAATGGCACCTATGAAGACAAGAGCTTGCGTTACGATTTGTTAAACTGCAACTTTCTGTCTTTGTTCCAGTTGTGACATTTGTCCTTTTCTTTTCCAAGGGAAAGCTCACCTATTTGAAGTCCTGGACACTCTTCAGCACCAGCTGGCAGCCTGTGAACTCTTGCAAATCCAGCCTCTGGGGAAGGCGCGGAGTCGCCAGCCCTTGTCTAACCCCCTGGTCATCTCGTGCTGAGCAGCAGTGCCGCCCGTCGCCTGCTCCTCGGCCACGCAAACACAGGATGAGTAAGATTTGTCTGGTTCAGCCGAGTGATGGACAAAAGCAGCAGAATAATTCAGCCATGAAAGTGAAGGTAGGCTGCTTCTGGGAGGAGCGCCAGCCCCTCAGCTCACGTCAAAGCCCTCCCGTACACGCACAAGCCCTCGCACGATGTGAGGATTGCGGAGCGATGGCTGTCTCTGATAGAAGCCTGACCACCCTGGTATGATGGCCCTGTAACTGTACCGGGAACCAAATAAAAACTGTTCCAAATACACCCACCTGGCCTGTTTAGATTTACAGCCCTGGGCGCGCACAGCCTGGGCACAGTTTTTAGCTTTTGTGAGAGTTCAATTCAAAAGCAAAAGGCGGCCAACACTATCACTGGCAAGTAAACCACTGCCTTAGAACCACAGAATCATAGAATCACAGAATCACAGAATCATGTGAGGGGTTGGAAGGGGCCTCTAGAGCTCACCCAGTGCCACCCCCTGCCAGAGCAGGGTGACCCAGGGCAGCCCCACAGGAACGTGTCCAGGCGGGTTGGAAAGTCTCCAGAGCAGGAGACTCCACACCCTCTCTGGGCAGCCTGGGCCAGGGCTCCGGCACCCGCACAGCCAACAAGTTTCTCCTCATGTTGAGGTGGAACTTCCCATGTTCTAACTTAAACCCATTATTCCTTGTTCTATTGCTGGGCACCACTGAGCAGAGATTGTCCCCTTCCCCTTGACCTCCACCCCTCAGATATTTCTCTACGTCAATAAATCCCCTCTCAGCCGTCTCCTTTCCAGGCTGAACAGCCCCAGGTCTCTCCGTCTCTCTTCCCAGCAGAGATGTTCAGTCCCTTGATCCCCCTCCCAGCTCTCCCTTGGACTCTCTCCAGTAGGTCCCTGTCTCTCTGGAACTGGGGAGCCCCAAACTGGACCCAGGATTCCAGGAGTGGTCTTCCCAGGGCAGAGCAGAGGGGGAGGAACATACAAGCAACAAAATGACTGCATTACCATAGAATCAGTTAGGTTGGAAAAGAGCTTTAAGATCAAGGACAACTGTTAACCCTGCCAGGTTAACCCTAAGCCATGTCACTAAGCCACCACAAGAATTATACCCATACACACCAGTGTGTGCCAGGAGAGCAAGTTTTAAGGGTTCATGCAGGAAATGTTCCTGCATGTCTGTATTTGTGATTCAGTTACTCACCTTATTTACCACTGAAGTTAGATTTGTTATTGCTCGGCTGAATTTTAAATTTGTGATTAGAGATGCCCTAGAAATCTGCAAGAGCCTTTTCTGGCGATAGCCTTAGATTTGACCTAAAAAGTTAGATTTAACTGCTTGAAAAAGTGATCTTGTTCCCAGGCTCTCAGGGAAAGGAAGGGTTGAAAGATTCCCTTTGCAACAGCTGCCGTCGCCTCACCGGCAAACGAGGCGTGCAGTGCAAAACTTTTCTCCTTGCATTTCCCTCAGTGCAGCTGCAGAGACGTGAAGTTAGGGCCCGCTTGAAGACAAATTGATGCCAAATTCTGGCCTTAATCCTGCTGCCACATAACGTTTTAATCAGCAATAAAATAATTTCTGGGGTCAAAAGAAAAATTCAGGTTGCCCCCAAGATGCTTTTGCTGTTTCCTTCATTATCAAACACAGAAACTGCAGAAGCGGAGTTCTTACGTGACCCAACAGAACGTATGTTATTAAAAAGATGCAACACAGAGCTTTTACGAATGTGAAATGACTTGCCTGAGATAATGCCAGCGATGAAATAAGAGTATTCAGTTCAGGACTGTGCATCTATGATTTTTTTTCCCATTAAAATGGTTCTGCAGGAATAAGGTCTGTAGCACAACTAGGGAATAAGAAGACTTGTATTCCTTTCTTTTCATTTAGAGCCATGTTGGTAACAAAAATTTGCAATGGATATTTCCCTTTTATTTTAGAGGAGAATTAAACAAAGGTGTTTGGCAAGCGATGGAACAAACTCTGCTCAATGGTGTTTTACCTGTTTTTTTTTCTGGTTTAATAGAGGGAGATTTTAAGAATGGATATATATTTTTTTAATGTAGATTTTTCAGAAAGATAAATTAGACAGGGCATAAGTACATAGTGAAATATTTACAATGCAAGAAAGAAAACTGTATACTAATACTAAATATACTACTAACAGAATACTAAGCATAATGTACTATTACTTAGTATATACGAAACCACCTGCTAGTATTGTATACGGCAAAAACGATGTACTAAACATGCAACTGATGAAAATTAAAATGAGTAGTAGATATACTCACGCATACTTAAGCTTGCTCTGCTAATTGTGTTCTTTTAGTATCTTTTTCCCCGAGTTTCCGCTTCACTTTCTAATGTATTTGTGGAACTCGACCATGAAGTGAACGGATGTCCTGGTGCCAAAAGGGAGGAGGAGCAGCAGTGCGGTGGGAGGGAGCGCTGCACAGCTCACCCAAGCAGCGTTTGAGCTCCAACTGGAAACCAGCACATGTCACTGGAAACCTGAACGGGTGTTCAGGAACTCGCAAACCACTGGGAAAAAAAGGAAGCTTTGGTGAAGAAATAAACAGCATTTAACTGCTATAAGCAGCAGCAAAGTTGTATGTTGCTAAGTTAGCTTCAAATACTGTAACGTTTTTATTTCTTGAAGAAATGTCTGTTTCAGAATGATTTTTGATACCTAGCTGATTAAGGTTTTAATAATAAAAGCTGATTATTTTAACTCAAAAAGGTATTTAATATGGAGCAATTCAGACTTGCATTATTTCAACAAGAAGAATCTGTTCTTTGGCATGGATCAAGAGACAGTCCTCAGTCAATTCCTGCTTGAAATCAGAAGCAAAGTGACCTTAAACTTCATTTTTTTTGCTAAATACTTTTATGCTAATGTTTTACACTGAGCCTGTCAGCAGTGTTTCATAGGAAGCTCTATAGCTATGTGATTTTAAATCAACGTAAATAAGAAATTTCTAGCTCTGCCCCAAGCACAGGTTGGCTTCCACAGCTTGATTTGCTGTGTGGGACACGTTCAAAAGAGTTTGCACAGTAACTGTGGGGAGCAAAGCCCAGCCTCTAGGTTTTCTTAAAGACCCAGCTCCTTAAGTCAAGTGATTTCTGCAGATTTCACCTACCTTGCTTTTTTCTTTTTCAGTTTTTTTTGCTTTTTGAGCATTGGATTTGTTCCCAGATAAACAGCAAACTGAAATACCTAATCAAGTCTCATTAAGAGCTTCAGCACCTCTCAAACAGTAACGTAGGAGCGGATACTCCCCACGCTGTTGCCTGCGTAACAAACTGCTCCTCTGAAGATCTGGAGCAGTCCTCACGGCAACGTTACTCTGCCATTGCTCATTTAGCATACACAAGATCATAAATTTAAACCTTACAGGGAACATACACCAAGTTTAAACTGACTTTGTAAAAAAAAAAAAAAATTCCTATATGGCAAAATGTGAAAAGATACCAAAGCACACTCAAAAGCCTTCCATTAAAACCCACAAATCCAGTATCTCAAATCTCTGCAAAGAGGGGCACCCATAAAATGCTTGAGCTCCCCGACTCTGCTGGCTTATAGCCTCCCTCTGGCCTTGCAGCACACCTGAGGCTTCGTCCCCTCCCCAGCGTGCTCATTCCTCCTTCTAGTAGATTTTTACTTTTTTTTATATCTCAAATCTCTGCAAAGAGGGGCACCCATAAAAGGGCTCGAGCACCCCGACTCTGCTGGCTTATAGCCTCCCTCTGGCCTTGCAGAACACCTGAGGCTTCGTCCCCTCCCCAGCGTGCTCCTTCTAGTAGATTTTTACTTTTTTTATTCTTCTCGAGAACAACTCTATTCCTAACGCAAGGACACTTTGTTTCACCCCAGCTGTAGCCTCTGGGGACTCCCTCATATAACTCACTCCAGCAGAAGTTATTCCTCAGCTCCTCTTCTGTGTGTCCTTCCCTCCTTCGCTGGCGATGGCACACGATGAATCCCTCAGGCTCCCCGCGTTCGTACTTTACACTCCGAGCACAAGTCACATTTTTCAAGAAATTCCTCCTCCATCATTTTTTACTTTATGTGAGGTATTACTTGTTAGTAAATTAAATTAGTAAATTAAACCCACCTGATACATAATTTATTCAATAATTGCCTCATTTATTGTCTTGAAAGTGCTCTTTCTGAAGTACCTGGCAGTGACAGCTCCTCAGAGACATCACGCTGATTCGCAAAATGTTCGCACCAAATTGTCGTGTCCGTCTCCAGCCAGGTCTTGATCTGTACATGCCGGTATGTTTAAATTTGTGGAATTTGCTGGAATTAAATCTCCTCCCTTTCATGATAATGTCCATTAATCTGCGACACGGTACATTGCAGTGATGAACGGCTGTTTAGGTCTCATTCTGTGTTTTCACCTTGCTGTTGAGAAGGGAACGGTTTGAAATGGAATCGCTCACTATGAGAGACTGACAATAAACTTTCACAGCAGGCGTATGACACATCACATTACCAGCCGCAGAGTTTCTCTTAGATTTATAATTTCATGGAGTTTAAGACAGTGAATCCTTTGCTATTTACATTATCTTATTTGCTTAACAATTTTATGTATAATTCCGCAAATTGTAAAAGCTATAGTGTGTGTTTCCTAGTGTGAAACTCGATTGAAAACCATCCTTATTTCCTCAATTACATGGCACCTTCAAGAAGCCACAATTTCCCGAGTTCCTGTTTGGTTTCTGACGTGCTTTCCTGGCTCTTCTGTACCAGAGCAGCAGAAACACCCTTCCCTGTTGCCCGTGGCGCTGCCCGTCACAGCAGCTCGGTGGTTCCCCATGTGAGTGTGTCTCATCGGGGTTTCCCAGCGCTTCTCCACAGCTGGGGAAATCCTGGGGGCACTGGGAGAGGCGCTCCTCCGGCCGTGCCTCTGCACACCAGCGTCAGGATATTCCCTTTTTTTTTGAACTGCTCTTCTTCCTTCAGGCTGGAGGTGCTGGAC